AGTGAACTTTTAACGCAATTTGCCGCGGTCTTGTTCTGAAGCCCCCTTTTTAGCTGGAGGGTAGTGCGTTCATGGAAGCGCATCTTCTGGCTGTCGGTGTTGGTGGAGTCTCGGTTACTGCCAGTGTGGCTGCAGCTTGCCAGAGGGTCGACAAGACGATCTTGATTTTGGTGGCATTGAACCTAGTGCTTGTCTTGAGGGTCACCGTCAAGCAGAACGATCGAGGTGAGCACGAGGTCACGCTGTCGGTCAAAGGTAAATCAGGAAAGGGTTGGTACGGAGCTCCACGCGGACTTCAGATACTTGACCAATGAGCATTGTTTTGTCGAGTGCAATGGATATCCTGGAGTTTTCCATACCTGTTTAGCCACTGCCCACATAAAGAACGACGAATGGATGATAGCCACCCCGGGTATGGACCTGTACCCGGAGGTGCTCAATGCCGGAATCGGGGACTATTCACAGTTCTTTCACAGTTCAACTGGAGCTATTCTCAACCAATGATGGCGCAGGATTATGCCAGGATCATGTCTCAGGGACAACGGGCTGCAGAGGCGGAGAAGCTGAGACCAGGACTTGGGCCGCCGCCTCCTTGCAGTTGGCGCCTGCCACTGGGGGCAGGTCCGGCCGCTGGCGTAGTCGACTATGGTGAGGATGTTGAAGTATGGGTTCTAGTTGAACAGGTTGATGGACACACAGTTGGGGAGGAGCTCACCCTTCCAGCAGGCTCCCCAAGAGGGAAACCATGCTCTGGTGCACGTGTTGAGCAAAGAAGGCAAGGACTTTGTTGTGAGGGCACAGAAATGCAAGCGCTGACATTGGGGAGTTGCGCGAACAGGTCATTCAGGCCGCCAGATCCACGGAGGTCAAGCTGGGCGACGACCCCTTGGTCAGTGACGATGTGCGTACGCTCTCCATCAAGTACGGGCCAAATGGTGAGAGGTGTCGAACATTTCGAGAGTCAATACAGGAGATGAGGCAAGTTGAGAGGGAAGAGTTCCCTTTGTCGCCAAGGACTTGCCTTGAATACCTTCGAGCAGTGGCAGAGATCTCAGAGTTGCTACGGGCAGCACCTCTCATGGGTGCAGAACGCCCGTATCCCTGAAGGGGACAGAGCTGTCTTTGAAGACAAAGTGCTGAGCAAGGTATTAGACGCAGCAGTCAAAATCGACGGGCTCAATTTTTGCAACAGCCTGGCATTTGAGATGATCGTTCGAAGAAAACAATTGCTGTGTGAGGCCCACGTGGGGAACCCTGGTCAGCCTAGCTACGAAGCCTCGGATTATTTCATGGGTGTGATACAGGCCGGGAGGAGAAATAGTTATCCCCAGCCTCACCGAGCACGGAGGGGGCGCCCCGACGTCCTTGCAGGAGGGGGCGTCCAGAGGGGTTCATTATCCTGCGGAGGAGCTTTTCTGAGGGCAGTTGTCATTTGGTGAGCTCTGGAATTTTGTGCACATGCAAGCAGTGGAGAGGCAGAGAGACGTGCTGCTCCCACTTTTGCTAGAAGGAGGAGGAGGAGGAGGTGGTCCATTGAGGATCACTGAGGCGAAGCGTGAAGAGGAGAGTAGAGCGACGTCGTCACGTTGGAGCTGAGGTACAGGAGGGCCTCGCCTAGGGGTGCAAGCCACACAGGAGCCCTACAGGCGCTTCGTGTAGCCAGCAGTCCTTATGGGGGCGATATGACTGGTGTCAGCGATGTTGTGAACATGGACACTGAGAAGATGTCCTTGCCCGAGATGGGCAGCAGAGGAGTGAAAGTTGAGCAAGTTTTGCAGGAAAAATGCTCAGAGATCCGGAGAATATGATGCTTCAAGACGCAAACAACTGGTCGTGGCTTTGTGAGGAAGCCCAATCGATCAGGGCCTACAATGACCCAGCGCTCCGTGACAAACAGTTCTTTCTGCGGTTCTTGGGAGGGCTTCAAATGGCCGGGGTGCTGGACTTCACAACTACAGTGCGGGGGAGAGTTGGTAGTTTTTGCGTTAGCAAGAAGCCGAAAGAAGTGGACGGCAGGATGATTGAGCGACAGAGGCTCATCCTTGACTGCCGACAGGTTAACCTTTCTTGCCGAGCTCCACCTGTGACAGAATTGGGTTCCCTACCAGCGGTAGACATTGAGATTCCTGACAATGAGACCCTATTTGTTTCGGGGGGGCGGCATCAAGGATTGTTTTTACGCCTGTCGACTGCCGGAGCCTTTCTTGGGACTTGACAGTTGCAGAAGCAGTAGAGTTGTTGATGGGCGATTCATATGATGAGCGGTTTGACAGCTTTGCGCCACACTCAACTATCAGCCCCACATCTCTATGTTCCCCATGAGGTTTAGCTGGAGCAGCTGGAGTTTTTACTTGGTTCAGGCTCTACATGTACAAGCGTGCATTCAGAGCAGTCCAGCGACAGCGCAAAGCATTGTTTTGGATGCGAGGCCAGCCCCACACCTCAGCAGGCGAGAGATTGTTTCCACGCCGTATTGTGACAGCACACATGCACTGTCTCTGGATCCCGTGACAGCGGAAGAAGGGAAGGTAGCATTGGCAAAGACCTTGGAGGATTGGGTGTTCACACTTCATGAAGAGATGAGTGCAACCAGTTGCTTTCCAACGTTGGGAGTAATCATTGATGGGAAAACAGGTGTCGTTAAGCCTAGAGAGCATCGTTTTCGGAACCTCAGGCTTGCTTTTGACTGTGCTTGCAAACGCCCTGTATCTTCGGATTTGGTACAGAGATTGTGAGGCCATGCGACGGTGGTGCTTGTCTTGAACCAAGCAGGTATCAGCGTCTTCCGGAGCCTCTACGATTTTGCCGGTCGGGGTTTTAAAAGCGTAAGATGCTCTGGGAAGGGGCAGTTCGGGAGTGCAAGATTTTTTCCGGAATCCTCCCCCTCTTGGTCTCTGATACGCGCGTCCCATGAGCAGTACAGTGACCTGCACAGACGCTTCACCTAGTGGTTTTGGCATTTGTGAGCGGACAATGGACGTTGAGGCAATCAGAACAGTTGGACAATGGCATGAGCGTTGGAGGTTTAAGCGATCAGGTTTGAAGGATTGAAAACCACGTGAAAGAGCCTTGGGACTAGACCCTTTCAAGGACCCTAGAACCGCTCGTCTTGACCCATCTGTTCTGATGAATATGTTAGGAACGAGGAGTCCGAGGAGGTCCCAGTTGAATTGTTGGACCCCTTGGATTGGAAGGTGGTTTTAAATGGGCAGTGGAAGTTCAAAGATGAGCACATCACATTGAAGGAGGGACGCTGTTTGACCCTTGCAGTTAGGAGAATGAGCCGCAGCCCGGAACATCGTGGGAAGACGCATCTCATTTTTGTCGACAACTTGGCTCGTGCTTTTAGCTTGGGTAAAGGGCGCTCTTGCAACCATGGGATGTTGCGATTGAATCAGAAGATAGGTGCCCTGCTATTGGCCTGCAACAGTGTTCTGAGGGTCAGGTGGATCCCCTCGGAGTGCAAGTTTCGGACCGTATGTTTTTGCGCCGCGGGAAGGACAGGAGCATTCAGCTTTCGAGGCCAAGAGCCAGCAGCGCATGAAATCCTCAACTTCACCTACGGCAAAGGTAGGTGCTGGATCCAAAGCTGGCTGCGAAGAGAAGCTCGAGTTGGGCAGGCCATCAATGGGAGGAAGATTCTGCTTATGTGTTTAGAGGAAAGGTTGAACAAACAGCGGAGCACGCCACTGTGGAGGAGTTGGAGGAATGCAGGTCAGGCCTCAGATTTCATCAAAGCCTTGGAGGCCATCCAGCGGATTGAAGAATGGCGCGCAAGATCACAAGCTTTGCCGGAGGAAAGGGGGACTGAACCCCACCAAACATGGCCCGCCAGGAAAAACGGCTCTACCTCCAGGAGACCGCAAGCGCATGAAGCCAACCGTTTCAGCCCTTTCCTTCGCATGGACAGAGGCCATCCAGAGCCTATCGTTCCCATCCATTTCTTGAAGGCAGCTGATGACTCCACCAAAGGCATCTCCAGCGGCGCCACCTGATCCTAGTGCTTGACTGCCAACTACGCCGCTGAGTTGCTCACTCCAGCGACCTCACCGAGGATCCGGTTCGAGAGTCGCAGAACATGTATGTGGAGTCAGCCTAGTCCAAGGAGGAGATTGCGCGATTGGTTGAAATTGAAACGACAATCAAAGAAGTTGACTCAGCCTCAGATCAAAGTGGTGCGTCAGTGATGTGGATGGTAACACGCAGATCCTCACCTACCCTGAAGAGGGCAAGGGGGAGACCACTGAGGAGATCAAGATGGGAACTATGGAGGGGAAGGAAGAGGCTATAGTGGGAGCTTCGCCCGCTTAGCGGCGTCCTCGGAATCTATGCCTTTATACTCCAAACAATGCCACAGGCTCCTTCAAAGCGTACGGCCAAAGTGCTGCCGGTGCCTGTGAAGGCCGCGGCTATCGCTGCTGAACTTGTTCCCATCATCCCTTTTTACGATGAAATTTAGTTGGATGGGAACCTGGACGGGCAGCAGCGAAATTGTATGGAATCCATCTACACACGAGCATGGGAACGCCAGCGCATCTTGTGGAAGGGCTTGCTATCCTATATCAAGGCTCAGCGCGAGAAGCGCTGGCTGCCCAGGGACGCGTTTGGTACCTGATCAAGATTCACAACACCGCACGCCAAGGGTTCGCTTGTTGGATCCCAAGCGGTCGGCGGAGGAGCGCTTCGACCCATATATGCATATGAACGCATGGCTCAGCGTCCTTTGTGTGGAAAAGACGGTGACGGTGTTCACGGCGAACCGGAGAGCTGAGTCCGGTCAACGCCTTGCCGAAGAGTGGGTCGGAAATACAATGTTTTTTGTCGGATGCTCAAACGCGAGGTGAGATGTGAATTCTGGCTGGGCCTTTGTGGGGATCAAGCGTGCCGGATGCTCAAACGGGCCGGCCGGATGACCTTTGCGCTCTGAGGGGGCTATGGGGGCATCTGATGAAGTTCCTATGAAGAAGGAGCCTCTCAAAAAGATTAATGGCCATTGAACCCAAGGCTGCGTCGAGTTTGTCGCCGGAAGGGGGAGAAAGCCTCTATATGGGTGCACAGAGCCAACCAAAGGGCACGGTCGCTCCGTATGCGCCGCGGGAAGGACAGGCGCATTCCGCGCTTTCGATTTGGCGGCTCTGCGTGAAAGGTCCTTTCTCCATGTGGAGAGGCTTTGTGGAGCAGAAGCCAAACTTTATCCATGATGGCGCTTTGTGACGGAGAAGATGAACTGAAGGGCTTGAGCTGAGGGCTACCGTTTTCATCCGTTTCCTCTTGTGGATGGCGGACGAGTACCACAGTAAATGACTGTGGCAGGGGCGCGTCTGCTTCCATCTAGGATGTACATCTCGAAGACTTGCGCGCTGTGAAACCTTTTATATGCGCGCGCTTTGATTTTTGGACGTGCGGTTTCAGGGCTCGGACCGACCTCGGACACATGTCAGCCTGTTTTTTTGGATGCACCTGCGCCTGCAAAAGGTTTCTTTCGTAGGAAGGGTTGCTCACCAAGATGTCCTTGAACGTCATGACTCCAGTCGCTTGCGCGGCCACATATCTGACAGCGCGCCCCACATCTCGCACATGAACCATGTGCAATGTGTGGCGCATTGGGCGGGCCTTGCCCTGCCGCACGGGCTTATGGGGGGTCGGCTGCATTGGACTACCTTCAAAAGGTGTGCCGAGAGTCCACAGATGCTGCAAGCGCGCCTAGAGGTAACCCTGCTAGTCATCCCGGGTGCCCGGTGTGAAGTACACCGGGGCGATGCCATGCCCCAACCCTTTCGCGCTGCTCACTTGGGTCGTCTATGGACCGGCGTCCGTTCGCCGTACTCAACATACAACATTGCCGAAGAGCGTGTAAGCTAGCCTTGGTTGTCCACCTAGAACCCGTCCCACACCCGTGCCTGTTTTATACCTGTGCCTGGGTCGGCAACGTTGAACGCTTGGAATGTCAGGCCCCTGATGACCCGTACTCTAAGACGCGTAATTTGTTGCAAGTAGCAAGACGCGTAGTTTGCTGCAAGTAGCAGCGCGCAATAGAGCATGGGATGTTTGGTTTTAACACCCCATGGTGATGGTGATAATTCGGGGGGAGCGTTGCGATCGCTTAATGCCATGTCACTTCCCCCGCCAAGTCTCAAGTCTCCTTCGCATGTGGTCGTGGCCCTCATCGGTCTTCAAAGGTGGACACCTGGCATGACGGAGGGGGGGGTGTCAGGGTACGAACCACGGCGCTGCTAGCTCACCGATGGGCTGGGCCACGTTCTGGCGTTTCCTGTCGCGTTCTCAGCCACCTGTGAAGTTCACAGCCAGTAGTGGGCGCTTGTACCGGGAGCTTTGCGACCGAGCGTGCGCAAAAGCACGGCCACTTGAACTTGCATGCCTACGACCATCATGTGGCTTATGTGCAAGCCGGGGCGCGTGCAAAAGCACTTGCGCGGTTGAGGTGAAGGGCCCGAACTACTACCTATCCATCCATGTCAATTTGTATCAATCTACCTTTGGTTTATTCACTTCGCGTGGGCGACTTGTGACTCTGGCCCTCCGTGTTTTTATGCAGTGGAACACTGGCTCAACATTTTTCCAACAGGATTGTCAGTTGCTAAATCAGGACGTTGACGGGTCAATCCGTCTCAGCCTATTTAGCCATTCCATGAGTTAGTTCATCAGCGTTTTATGAGATTTTATGTCCTTCATTTTGAGATTGGCATTAGAGAGGGGCAGTGGGGCGCAACTGGCAGCCTTGAGGATGCAGAAACTGTCACAGATGAGCTTGGCATGTCAGAGAAGGCCTTCTGGTTTAAGAGTGGTTCGTTCAGGGTGGTTCCAGCACTGTCAATTGCGCGGCAGGATCGCCAAGAAAAAGAAGAATGGCGAGAAAAGAGAAGAAAGGGGCGCGAGGATGCAATCGAAAGGATGAAGATGAAGGTGGAGCGCTTTCTCCTCCTACCCCCCCGCATGGTACATGTAGACTCGCCTTGACAGGAACGCGATGCAAAGAAGGAGCCTAGGGGTCTTGCGCTTTAAGATCTTTAAGTGGTTGAACATTTTGATACGGGCGGTCAGTTTTTGCACATTTCCATTGCATGCAGCAGGAAAAAGAACGAAGAGAATTAGAAAAATTCAAGGAAGACAACCCGCAGGCAGCGCAGCCCAAGGTTTCGCGCTTTAAAGTTGCAGATTGTGCCAGCCAGGCCTACGAAGACATGTGCGGTTCTCGGCTGTGAGCCTCGACATGCATCTTACCTAAAACACGGTCAGGTTGGCGCAAAAGAGAGAGGATGAGCGACAAGCAGCCGAACAAAAGAAACGTGAAAGGCTCCTGCAGGCGATCAGATGTTGTGACTAAAGCATAGGGTTTGGGGTTGTGTTTTCGCAAGGTGGAGGTCTGATCATCTAGGACCTAGGAGTTTGTACTTCCATTGGCATTGGGCCAACGGGAACTTACAAGTGTGTGTGTCACCCCCTGATTCTAAGGGTTTCCACTTTCTTACCTTCCACTGTAACAGAGGCATGCACCTTTCACTCGTTTTCACGCAGCAGGGGCGTGTGACACTCTTCTCCTATCACACGCAACGAAGCTATGGAGAAGAGTGGGAAGGGAAACTTGGCCAGTTTCCTGTACCTGCGACGCAACTGTTGATCAAGCCGTTCCACTTTCTGCCTTTTTGTTTTATGGTGTTTCATGATACTTCCCCAAACAGGTTTCTTTCAGCAGCCGACCGCAGCCTTGCACCGCGCCGACCGAGTGACCGATCGTCTCTGACTTGAACAACAATTTTTTTGAAACACCTACAAGTTTTCGGACCTTTCACCATGCGGTTCTGTCACCTTCCTTCCCAGCGTGGCAATTGAGTCTAACTGAAAACCAAGTTCGAAGTGTGGACCGCTCAGTCTTCCCACTTGGGTACTGGGTGTGACCCTCCGAAAGGAGGCGCTGAAGCCATGCCGGAAATCATCGTTTCTCCAACTTTATAACTGTTTCCTTTTGATTCACTTTATTCCTGAATTTCCTGATTTTCGAGCCGCCGGGCTATAAACGATGGAATTCCCACCAACAAATTCTGAATTCTCTCCGGTTGTGCATTGTCTTTTCTCTCAACTTTTAACCGCAGCCGTTTGACGAATGCTCAGCTTTCGCAGGCTCCACACCACCGATCTCCCAAATTGCATTACATGCCAAGTTTTCACCACCTTACTTCACAGCACATTCACTCAGGCTCCAATTTTTTGAGAGAGGAAAAGAATCCGCCTTTCTACCGTTTTGTCTGTGCGCCGATTACGGCGTGTTGTGTGTGTCACCCCCTGATTCTAAGGGTTTCCACTTTCTTACCTTCCACTGTAACAGAGGCATGCACCTTTCACTCGTTTTCATGCAGCAGGGGCGTGTGACACTCTTCTCCTATCACACGCAACGAAGCTATGGAGAAGAGTGGGAAGGGAAACTTGGCCAGTTTCCTGTACCTGCGACACAACTGTTGATCAAGCCGTTCCACTTTCTGCCTTTTTGTTTTATGGTGTTTCATGATACTTCCCCAAACAGGTTTCTTTCAGCAGCCGACCGCAGCCTTGCACCGCGCCGACCGAGTGACCGATCGTCTCTGACTTGAACAACAATTTTTTGAAACACCTACAAGTTTTCGGACCTTTCACCATGCGGTTCTGTCACCTTCCTTCCCAGCGTGGCAATTGAGTCTAACTGAAAACCAAGTTCGAAGTGTGTGTGTAACCCTTGGAATCAAAGGGAACCTTTTAGGTTTGGAGCAGGGGGCCACCGGGGCCCCAGAGGAACGGTGGCCAACGAAGACCTCCTCTGGGGTCCGTGCAAACGTACCTGCCAAACTGGTTACCTGTTGTTCTCGCTGTGGTTTGCTCCTTAGTTTGCACACATACACGCACGCGTACTCTACTTACATCGAGGTTCAGGTGGCCCAGGTTCGTTACAATGAGGTTTGGTTCATCGGTTGTCCCTCTTCACTTGGTTCTTCTTCATCGGCAACCACACACACCTTTGTCTGTCTCGTCCTTTTCATTTTCATCTGTCCCTTTTGCGTGCACATGTGCCTTGCCTCCTTTCCGGGCAGGATGGAGGCCACACATGCCTCCCTTCGGGGAGGCGTGTGTGTGTAACCCTTGGAATCAAAGGGAACCTTTAGGTTTGGAGCAGGGGGCCACCGGGGCCCCAGAGGAGCGGTGGCCAACGAAGACCTCCTCTGGGGTCCGTGCAAACGTACCTGCCAAACTGTTTACCTGTTGTTCTCGCTGTGGTTTGCTTTCATGGTGGTTCATGTGGTTCTGTTACTAATCGCTACTCGCGTTTCGTGTTTTGAGTCTTGCTGGCCTCCAACCTGGCAGTGCTTTGAGTCTTGCTGGCCTCCAACCTTGCAGTAAGGGCCTCCACTTACTGACACCTGTCCTGGTTCCTTAGGTTTTCACTCAGGCCCGCGTGTGGCACCGCTGTCGAGTCAGTATGCATCCATAAGTGTGTCAACCCCCATGTCCAGGGGCGCCACCTCTCTCTAGCTACTATCACTATTCTTGCTTTACTTCATGTCCAGATACGCAGGGGAACTGGGCAGTCTGTGAGTGACCCACTTCAAGCTAGGTCACAGAGTGGGATATTCGGACTGATCATCCGAACTACCTGCGTCGAACTCAATTTTTTAAGTTGTTTCATTTTTCATTCATGTTATACAATACAATTCCTTGGACCTTTGACTTGCTGTTCACCAAGTCAAGGCCTACCTAACTTGCAGTAAAAATTATCCCGGCCAGAGACTCCAAACAGTGTGTGTGAGGTCCATAAGCAGAACGTCTAGTGTGAGTGAGAGTGGGAGAGTGAGTGAGTGTGAGTGCGAGTGCGAGTGCGAGTGAGAGTGAGAGTGAGAGTGAGTGTGTGGGTGGGAGTGAGAGTGAGAGTGAGAGTGCAGAGTGAGTGGGAGTAGTGGGAGTGGGAGAGTGAGTGAGTGTGAGTGCAAGTGTGAGTGAGGAGCGAGTGTGAGTGAGAGTGCGCGTGGATGAGAGTGAGTGTGAGTGAGAGCCCTGGACAATCCAATGGTGTCCTTTGTGCATCGTTTTGGGCTTTTGCATCGCGCAGTGCCTTTTGTAGGCAAACCATGCCGTTTGGAAAAGGCCTTGTTTAGTCTTGCGTTGGGAAACCTCCAGCTACCATCCACAAGGTCATTGCCACTGCAGCAGTGCAGCTTTGCACTTTATAGTAGTGGGAGTGGCAGCTGCAGGCCAGCTTTGAACTAAATAGTGGGAGTGGCCACTGCAAGCAGCACCGCAGCTTTGAACTAAATAGCGGGAGTGAGTGTTGCAGCGCTACAACTTTACTAAAAAGGTGGGCCTGCGATATACCACGTGGGGAAAAATTGAAAAAAGATATGAACATACGTAGGTGGGGCTGATGGTTGTGAAAAAGCGCGTGTTGGGCCACCTGGTTTTCACACGTTCAAGTCTAAAGGGAGCTGCGATGCAATGTGTTTCTTGAATTTTTCAATGTGTGCATGGTTGTGTGCGCAACACGCTTCGCCTTCAAAGCCATTTGGCTTCACCCTCGCTCCACCTCACTCCCTTGAAGGCGCTGGGCTCAAACCCAAAGTTCATGGCCCCAAAGCTTTTTTTTCCTCCTTCACTTCGCCCAGGCGTGCATGCCAGGCTCTGCACGGGAGCGCAGTTCTCCTACAGGAGGCCGGTGCTTCACCGACCACTTGAAGAGTGTGTCAGTTAGAGGGATAGTTTGCAGAACTTTAGGGCGCCTACACTAAGGAGGAAAACTTGAGGTTGCACCACGCCCAACTACGCAGCCATTTTTTGTGGGTGTGTGACCGCAGAACCTAGCACCCTTTGCGCCCACAAAATGGCGTTGGTCAAGAGGTTGCACTCCGAAGCGAAACTCTGGAAGAGCTTGCGACGCTAGATGGTTTCAGGTTGGTCAATTGTTCTTTGTCTTTTAGTTTGGTGATGTTCAAGCTTCATGGCTGCTGTTGTTTCGTTCGGTGGCTGCAGCAAGGATCTGGGAAGATCTCGTGGACAGAGGAAGAGGTGAAGGAGCACGCCAAGGCTGTTAGAGCTTCCATGCCCGTGACCGTTGTCGACGTCATTCTTGGGGCTGAGTGGGCTGGAGGTGAGCTGATTCACTTGGAGTCAGATTTCTCCAGGCCTGGGGCAGAGGATTGTTGCGTGAACTACGTCTGGGTCAAACCATTTGTCGAGAAATTCACATCGACTGTGCCTTCAGCTTTCTACTTGTGGGGATATATTTGTGGAACTCGATTCCTTGCTGAACAAGAAGCTGCTCTTGCCAAAGGACCCTAACCAAAGCAAGCAGACATGAGGGGTAAAAGATGAAGTCCTTAATCGGGGGACTGCGCTACCTATGGCGTAGCAGTGTCTGGCACTGATAGTGTCAAGGTTTTTGTTTGGTGTGCTTCCTGTTTGTGCTTCCTTAAGTGCTGGTTAGTTGCAACATGCTGTGCTTGGCAGCTTCTAAGGCATGACCGGCAACCATCCCCGCGTCACCGAGCTCAAGTCCTACTTGACCGAGTCCGCAGGACTATTTGTTGCGAGGGCTCTTGCGTTTGCAGTTCAAAGCTAGTGTTTACGGCTCGACCTTTCAACTGTATAGTAGTAGCTACTTGCAAGAGTTTTGCACAATTATTGACTTTTCAGAATGCAGGACCGGCGTCGTTCCTGCAGCCCTGCCGGTTCAGAAAAGCCTGATCAAGACCGTGGATGCGACCTGAAGGATGATAGTCAGGATGCAGCTCCCATCGCTGACATCGATCAGGAGGGAGAAGACAGCTCGGCTTCTGAGGAAGAGCGTCAAAAACTCCTTCGTGCAAACACCCTCATTTTGGGGGAGGATGACAATGCTGAGTTTGCCTCAGGCTCAGAATCAGAGGATGACCGGCTTCCAGATCTTGTGTGTCCAGACCCAGTTCAAGATGATGACATGGGTCAAACGCTGGGTGCAGATATGGATCAGGGCGAGGATTCTGAGATGGAGGTTGATGGTGAAGAGTGTACATCTGCGACTCCCTCTTCAAGCCAGCCTGACCCTGAGCAAGACCACATCTTTGAAACGTCGCTGGCCTCCAGGAAGGGGCCGAGCCCTGAAGTTGTGGACATGCGCATTGGGCTGATGACCTGCCTGAGCAAGAGCGTGCCACGCATCGTAAAGTATCATGGTGCCTGATCAGTCCCACCAACTTTTTCTGTCGTGGCTTGATGTGGTGGCGGGGGTTAGGCGAAGTTGGGGATGTGAGTTCTTTTGCGCTGGCCCACTGAGGCATTGGCATTTGCCCAATTACCTTAACCACTCTG